AAGACGTGATTGAGTCTTCGATTGATGGTTTGTCACTGGAAAATTGATTTCCAGTTGATGCCCTAAAATTGAGTGGATTAACAAAAACCCTAACCGTAAATTTTTATTATTATTATTCATTTTCTGATTTGACCACTAATTCTTCCTCTGTTTGTGTTTCGTGCGAGGAACCTGTTCTTAGTGAACTGATTGGGCGATTGGACTGCTAGCTAGGTGCCTGCAGAGTCTCCAATCGATTCTTCTTGGTGCTGGATCTTTGAACCAGCTTAGTGAGCCTTCATAACCCCCTGATTTCTTATGTTTCTTGATTATGTTATTACTATATCTTGAATGCTGTGAATTTTCCCTGATTTTCTCTGTGTTTTGTGTCTCTTTGACGTTAGAGTTGAGCCTCGACCTGGGGTCTTGAGCCTCATGGAATCCTGGTGAACTCTAACACCTGATTCTGTTGTTGATATCTCCGTTTTCAATTAGTTTGATACACTGTAGTTGTATTCTTTGTGAATTCTTATGATTAGAAGCATGATTATTCTCATTGCTTATTCTATATGATTCTCTGGGTTTATTAATCTGCCTGTTATCACTATTATTCGTTGTTCACTGGTTGATAAGTCTGTTTTCAGTATGATGTTTTCATCCCTGATTTGTTTACACTGTGATTTGTGTGACTTTTAAATTGGTTGTTTGAAATATATGTTTGCTGTTTTTCCTGTGGAACTGTGACCTCAAAAATTCTTTGTATTGATTAAAAATTTCAAATGACAATGGCAACATTTGAACTTGGAGTTTTTAATAGAAAATGATATTTCCCCTTTTGGCAGCAAAAAATGAACGAGGTCTTAGTTCAACCAAAAGTTTTTAAGGCTATAACTGGTGAATTTTCTGCTACTATGACTGATGATCAAAAACTTGATTCTGATGAACTTGCTTATACTTCTATAATTCTTCATTTGTCTGATCAAGTGTTGAGGAAAGTTGGTAAACTCGATAATGCTAAGGCTTTGTTGGAGAAGTTAGAAGAGCAATATATGTCTAAGAGTCTACCTAATAAACTCTTCCTTTTAGAAATGTTCTTTAGTTTTAAGATTGATATGTCTAAGGACTTGGATGATAATCTTGATACTTTTAATAAATTAGTTCAAGATATCGCTAATACTGAGGAGAAAGTGTCTGACGAATATAAGGCTGTTATCCTCTTGAATGTTAT